TTTTTGAGTGCTGGGCAAAGACACACAAGTACTGGGTCAGAGACAATTGACTTTAGTACTCACGGTAACAGCATTAGCAAGAGTATCATGATTTTCTTGCACTGAATCCTCAAGCCCCAATTCCCACCGAAAAGTTCAGGTGACACCTATGTGCTTAGTGGATTGCATTAGAAAAGAGAAACCCAGAGCTTAGGAGACGTGGATATTTTATAATGGCCAGTAAAGGTATTCCTTTGCTGCAGATAGAGACACTACCTCTATCCAAGGCTGCAAGCACACCTGCCTTTTGTTTTGGAGGGAGAAATGATTTCTATCGTCCAAGGCTGCTCACTATATGAAAAGATAGTCCCAAAAAAAAGGCAGTCAGTGCCTTGCTGGTAAAATGTGCAGAAATGAGACCCTGCCTGAATGTGGACAGCTGACACAGGGACAAGGAGTAAAAACGATAAGGTTTTGAGCTAGACCGACTAGGAAGATCATCATTAGCAGTAGAGAGAAAAAGAACAAAGCATATTTTAGGGCAGATAAGCCATTTTTTAGATAGGTTGAGTCTGAGATGTCTCCATAAATACATGTTGAAAATGCAAGATTAGAGTTGAGACTTCAAAAATATATATTTTGAGTAGTTACGCTATAGAGGTAATTGAAGAAGTCATCAGAGTTCATAAAATTAAAGTGAGAAAAAGAGGCAAGCGAAGAAAAACAAGATGGCGTTGCATGAAGAACTTTCTTAGGAAGGAAGGCAGCAAAGAGGAAAAATTTGAGGCATAGTCAGAGATGGAAGACGAAAAAGGAAAATAACAATATTTCAGAAATGAAATGAAAAGGTCTTCTACTAAGTAATTGGTACTACTACTTGTCTGTTTCAAGTGCTGGAAAAAATGGAAGGAAATGTGTGCACTTTCAGTACTATGTATTTTATGCTTTAGGGATACATACCTGTTTAACGAAAATATGTTTTTTTCTCCAATTGTGTTGACTAGTCCAGAAAAAGATGAAGGTAGAAGTCAGATTTCAGGAGATACAGGAAAAAGCAAGATCACTGAAGGCTGTGTTGGTAGAAAACATTCTGACAAAGAGTTGTGCCAAGAGAAAGTTGGGGGTGGGACAATTAATTTTGAGGGTAACAGAATTGGGGATTTTAGCAGATATTTGCTTCTGTTCTTTAATTGTTTTGTCTTCCTTTTTAAAGAAATCAAGAGACTGTTAATGTAGTAGGAGCAGAATTTCATGATACAGGGCAGAGAGAGAGTTGGTTGATAGAGAATTGTCTCATAAGAGAGGAAAAAAATGGAGCCAAGAACAGAGGTGATGTTTAATTTGGGAAAGGCGGGACATGTTAACATGAGTCCAGAAAACTAAAATGAGCTTCTGGCATGCAGATTATGAAGATGAAGAAAGGAAAGGAAGGAAAAGGAGGGAATTTATATTTATTTATTGAATAATATCGTGAAACAGTTAATCACCCCTTTTTATTGATGATAAGACATAAATGTCAGAGGTTTTGCCTAAAGTAACAAATATGACAGTCAAGCTGGATTCAAGACTGTATCAGTCTTACGCCAAAGCGTATGGTTTTAACTGCTGTTGTGTGGTGTGATTTTAAGGAAAGTAGAAGAGTTTTATAAGGGACCCTCTGAAAAATAAGATAAAATATCAATTAGAAAGAAATAAGACAACTGCTGAGAAGCAGTGAGTGCAAGCAGAATCTAAGTATCATCACTTTTTAAACTAACCAGCCCAATATCCTGAATTTTCCTTAAAACGCAAATACTTTTTGAGTCTTTCCCATAGACTGAGTTTGTTGTGAACTGTTTCACAGCAGCAATGGCACCCAATCCAATAGATAACAAAGCACTATTGCTGCATACCATTCTACTGCCAGGATTTCTCCTCCAGGGTGGCTTTCCCCTAGTTTGTAAACAAATAATTCAGGTGGCCTTGTCGTGTTACATTAACTAAAAACCATGCCTAAAGCACACATATAATAACATACGTGTGTGCAAACTGGCTTTCTATCAAATTCTTATTAAATTCCTAAATCATACAATTAAATTTTTAAAATAACTGTATTTGGAAACAAGAAAAAAGCCTTTTTGACATTCAACTGATGTATATAAAGGAGTATGTGCATATGAGTTTTCAAATGAGATGAAAATTGAAATTTGATCTTTGAGGTTAAAAACATTACATAAATCAATTTTTATTAAATTTTTCTGAAAATATTGTATTTGTTTTATACCCTCTTGCTATATAAACTTTTATAGTTTGCTTACCCTCTTTTTTTGATTTCTTCTACATTTTCTTAATTTTGATATCTCTGAATTTAAAGTCCAGAGAATGTTTTAATCTTCACTAGTCCTCTCTTTTCCAGTGTTAGTATTTTTTTTTAGTTGTCGCTTCTGTTTTCCATTTTTCAGATATCAAATGATAATTTGGGGTGGAGGTACCCAGGTATCCCATCTCTCTGAAGTGAAGACGTAGCAGCACAAAGATGATTTTATTAGAACGTCCACTAGATCAATAGAGCCAGTGCACAAATTTAATTTCCTAGCAGACTCAAAAGATCTAACCTGGAAAAGAAAGTCTGTCTCTGCTGAATTTTCCGAGGCAAATACAATATTTGAAAGTCACTGAATGTTTCAAACAAAACATAACAACATTCAGATAACAGAACTGTGGTGATGTTCTCATGTGTATGCCCAGAAAATAAGCAAGTTGGGGCTTCTCTGTGATTAAAAGTCAAAAGAGTATTACAAGTCCAGCCCAGATTTGACTGTCTAATCATTTAAACCTTTGTATCATCATCATCATTACCACCATCACTGCACACTCATTATCAAGCAAAAAAAAAAAAAAATGCTTTAAAATAAATGGAAAAAAAAATCTGCAAATAGATTAAAGTGATTCCTGCTTATCACTCCCTTTCTCCCAGGGGCAGGAGACCTGGGCACTTTAAAGGAATTCATAGGGCTCCTTGGAGCAAGTGCAAAAGCCACAGTCATGAACTAAATGAATGTTTACACCTAAAGAAACATATAAACATATTACATTAGAAGGTGGCATGATATAGTGGTATATCACTGATTAAGAAACTCAAGGCCACCTTCATGTGCCACTGATAAATCAATATACTTTGACATAGTAGATAATGTCCCTCTATTTCATCTGCATCCCTGTAAAATTTAGACTTTCAAAACATATTCCTTCCAGTTACAGTCAGGTATTGCAAACCAAGTATTCAGTGAGCATCTAAATGGGAAAGCAAAGAACTTCATTTTATGGTGGGTGGCTCATGCCTGTAATCCTAGCATTTTTCCGAGGCTGAGGCAGGCAGATCACTTGAGGTCAGTTTGTGACCAGCCTGGCCAACATGGTGAAACCCTGTCTGTACTAAAAATACAAAATTAGCCACGCCTGGTGGCATGTACCTGTAGTTCCAGTTACTCTGGAGGCTGAGGCAGGAGAATCGCTTGAAACTAGGAGGTGGAGGTTGCAGTGAGCCACCAAGATCTCGCCACTGCACTCCAGCTTGGGTGACAGAGTGAGATTCCATCTCAAAAAACTATTTTGAAGAGTTTTATTTTCAATTTTATTTTCTTCATGGCATAGCATGATAGTTGAGTTGACAAATTAATAAAGCACATTGACATGTGTTAATTTTAATCATATACAGAACAGAAATTATTTTCATAAAATATTTAACCTGCATGTTACTTCCTCTAAATCTCTCTGTAGCTGATGCCCCAATTTCACTATTAGCCCTTCAGACTTGGATGTTAAGCACCGTGCCTTCCACTGGACCTCTCTTTAAATGTCACAGCTATTTCTGGCAGGTAAGACTATTGCTTTGGTTAGTGTGAACGCATACCACTGTGCATCACAAGGCACCTGAGAGAAAAGGCTGCCCAAAGCAGGAAAATAACTCAGAAAAAAAAAAAAAAAACAAATCACACAGGCTGCTGAAAATACAACAGATCTGCATTTGTATACTTATGATCTAATTTATGTCAGTCATTAAAACGAAATAAGGTGTTTAGAAAATACAGTGTTGTTTATGGCTATACTTAATATTGTGACCACTTGCTACAAAGCAAAGCAATCTTGCTTGCTCTCATGAAAGAGAGTGCAATTTAGAACTGAGAGCTCAATTTCTAAGGAGGGTTTATACATTCTATCTTGAGGCACACCAAGGAGATAGAGTTTACCAGTTTTAGAAAGCACGGCCATAATTCAAGTCAGAGAGAGGGCTGATGGAGGCTTTTTTTAAAGATTTTAAAAGATCATGAGGGCAAGCTTGCTTTTATCAAAAACAAAATATTTCCATGTGGCTTCAGGCTGACTGAATTAACAAGGCCCAGAGACTGGTCTGAAGGCTACAGCCTTTACTTTTTATTGCAACGGAGAAAAACTGAACATTATTTGACTATCAATTGTGAAGTTTAGTAAAAAGATTTTCGTTAATGGGTGGTTTTAATATTTATGTATGTGATGGTTTAGCAAGTTTTCTCCAATGTTTTGCAAGACCATTAATTAATAATAATCTTTACAAATGGAACATATAATTGTCTGATACTATTTTTTTTCTTTTTTTTTTTTTTTTTTTAGTTATTTAGCCGGTGTTTCGCTCTTTTTACCCAGGCTGGAGTGCAATGGCACGATCTCGGCTCACCGCAACCTCCGCCTCCTGGGTTCAGGCAATTCTCCTGCCTCAGCCTCCTGAGTAGCTGGGATTACAGGCACGTGCCACCATGCCCAGCTAATGTTTTGAATTTTTAGTAGAGACGGGGTTTCACCATGTTGACCAGGATGGTCTCGATCTCTTGACCTCGTGATCCACCCGCCTTGGCCTCCCAAAGTGCTGGGATTACAGGCGTGAGCCACCGCGCCCGGCCAATACTATTTTTTAATTTGCCAATGCTTAATACTTTTTATTTTGAGTATGTTTTATTATTTTTTCTAAATTTCTCTATTCATTTCTACCTGGGTATTTCTTAAGGTTTTATTCAGTCCTGTTATTCTCATGGTAGGATTTTTAAAAGCTGGTATATTATAATAAAATCCTTCAACTGTGAATTCAGTAATGTTTTGAGTTCCAGGGATTCATCTGGCATTAGGCTGACTTTGTCAAGCATAAACATCGACATGAAAAAAAGATTTAAGAAATGAAATGCCTGAATCAAAATAAGAGGTCAAATTTTCCAGGGTGTCTTGTGTCTTAAAAATCTTTCTGCTGTAATTACCTAAAGCGTGTGGTTAGATAATTATTGAGGGACACTTGCAATTGTCCCTTTTCTCTACGTAGTTCACCACATTAATTAAACGAGAGCCTCATTGGGGACAGGTTGCTGTTCTGCATCTTGAGTATTTATAGTCCTTTATTTTCAAAAGAGAAAAAAGAACCACTAAAAAGAAGATTGCTTCTCAGCCAAATTTTCTGATATACAGTTATTCTCAACACACACACACACACACACACACACACACACACACACACACGCGCGGGCGCACCAAGGCTCTGGAATGTGCCTTAACAGTCTTATTTTTGCACATTTTAAAAAGGAGGTCATTTTGAAATTTGCACATATTTTATGACCTGTAATGTACTTCTCTGATCTGATTTCACTTGAGCTAATAAAGAAATTCAAATCAGGTGCTTGCTGTGATCAAGATACTAAAGTTATATTTATACTGCTTCACAACTGTAAGGTGTTAAAGCTTAGTGAGACAAGAAGTAAACTGATAATTGATTGGCCAGGGCGCTATACAAATCTACCTAGAGGGTGCCTCCCAGGTTAATGCAATTACGGGAGAGCGCTCCTGGCTCCTGACTAAAGAAATGCCAACTAAAGTGTTATCAACCCCATCCTTCACTTTTGGAGGATGTGTCAGGATGACATTGCACTGTGTCAAAATGAAAATACAAACAAAAGCAAATAAACTGAGTGATAAGAACTGACTCAGTTTCCTTATCCATTTCCAATTACCTTTTTTAAATGCCAGCTTGCATGTTCAGTAGAATAAAAGGGATCTGGGTTCTTTATCAGCCCATCCTTAGATCCTAGTACACATACGCACCTAGTAAGTGCCAAGCAAATATTCAATGAATGACTGCACCTTTCCTATGAATTCTTCCTTAATTATCCTTCAACAGAGCTAATAGAGCTAACCTCTCTTTCCTATGTGCCCCATCAAATGCTTTCCCCATGGATTGAGTTCAGCATAAACTGCCATGTTTTGAGATGACTGGCATAAGCAAATGTCCTCTCCTGGGTTATGAGAATCTAAGAGCAAGGACAACATCACACTCATCTCTACTTTCTACAGTTTTTTTTTGTCCACTGTCTAACAAAAATGCCAAGTGAAAAGGGAAAAATGAATGAATAAATTTTGTAAGATGCCAATGGAAAAAACCCCAGAAAATCAAGGGTTACTAAAAGAAACCACTAACTCCATTTAATTGTTGTAGAATAAGAATCCCTCAAGGATTCATAGCCAGAATTAGGATTCAGATCCAAAATAAAAAAATACTGTTGCCCCAAGAAAATATCCTAATTTGTTATAATAGGTAAAAATGTATATTATTTGATATTAAACTTTTATACCACATTTCAGGTTTTTAAACATTTATCTTCTTTTTTTGTATAGCTAGTTGTAGAGCATTAAGAATAACATGCATGGCTATCACCTGAGGTGTTTATTGTAAGAGCAAATTCCTAGACTTTGTCTCTTAACTACTGAATCAGAATCTTTGGGAGTGAACCCACAGGAATCTGAATTTTTAAAAATAAGGTCTTCAGGTCGTTCTTATGCATTTAAAGATAACTGCTGTAATACATAACAAAGAAACCCAAAGAGAGACACTTGAGGATTATTTCAATATATCTCTTTTTGCAGAGATTAAAAGTAAATAATATTGTTTTATCTGCCGTTCAGAATTTTACATATGCATTGGATTCTTTTACTGACAAAAAGGCTTCTCTCTGGAGACAATAAAAAGCCAGCTTTCCCTGAGGCTTCTAGCAAAACCCCTATCCATGTGACTCTATCAATCAAGACAGAGTGATTTCCACCTTCTAGTCCTTACTTTCTTGCAAAAGGTGCTCTCAAATCTCATTACTGATGGTCCCATCTTTTATTACTGGTGTTATCAATGGGATGCTCACAGTAGCTTAAGTATGTGGATAAAGAAGAAATGCACAACATGCAGTACTGAACAACTTTAGAAGTGGTCTTTCACAGCATACCTGTATGTGTGGGGGCACATGCTTAGGCATATATGCATACCAGTTTGTTATTTATGTTGAAACCAATGTTTTACATTAATGGCTGGAATTCCAGAAAAACAAGAATTTGTATTTTCTAAACCATTAAAAGTTTAGTGGAACTCATTAACAGTCTGCATCTCTGTATATTTCAGAAGTACATTTTAAATACAACAGCTGGGGGAAACTTTTATAACTGTATGATTTGAACACAAGTACAAGAAATATATAAGTTTACACAGGGAAAAGAACACTTTCTCTACAAACCTTTATTTATTTACTCATAAGCCTCTACTTCTTTCTGGATTTGACTTTAAATCTCAACACATTTCCCAGAAATTAATATCTTCTGACTGACCTCTTTTAAAAATTCAGACACAGAAAAAAACTAAATATAATAGAGAGAGATTATAATAGTGTCTATTGTCCCGTTCTCTCTCTCTCTACACGATATCACCTCCTCCAAATTCATAGCTAACTACTGGCACATTTTTAGTTAAAAATATACATGCACACAAATATATGTGTAAATATACACATATATGTGTAAACATATCACAATATGTATATATATATATATGCTTCCCTGCAGGTGACTAGAATGCTTTCTTGGAGGTGGTTCTGTGGGCCTCTGTGATGTCTCTATTGTTATATTTTAAGTTTCTTTTTTTGTTTGTTTGTGACGGACTCTCCTTCTGTTGCCCAGGCTGGAGTACAGTGGCGGGATCTCAGCTCACTACAACCTCAGCCTCCAGAGTAGCTGGGATTACAGGCGCATGCCACCATGCCCTACTTTTTTTTTTCTTTTTTTTTTTTTTTTTGGTATTTTTAGTAGAGATGGGGTTTCACCATGTTGGCCAGGCTGGTCTTGAACTCCTGACCTCAAGTGATCAGCCTGCCTCAGCCTCTCAAAGTGCTGAGATTACAGGCATGAGCCACTACACTCGGCCAACATTTCTTAGCTCACATTCTCATGAGAAAAAACTGCTGAAAACTTGGAAATAAAGAAAGAGAATGACTATATGTCCTTTAAATGCTATTTTTATGGGGCTCACTCAATGATTATTAAGTTAGAAATCTAAGCTAAAACACCTGATTTTGACATTGCTGTTAACATTTTTATTAGTGCCTCCAAATCTGCAAATTATGTTAACTCGTACATTTATTCTCAGTAGAAAACATAATTCCATAGGTTATTGCTATTAATCAAATGTTTGCCAGATTTATATCTATTAGTCAATTCCTTTTAGAATCCCTTTGACTCACTGTTTCTATAAATCTTTATTCCTCATATATTCCTTTAGTTTATTGGCTCCACTATTAATTAATTAAATAAAATCTTTGAAATATGTTTATTTTTGTGTAAAAATCATCTTTACTTTTCAAAAACTATAGTACACTGTGAAAAGATAAATTGCTAGGTTCAACTGAGGAATTGAATCATTTTTTCCTCTTTTAGTTTTAACATTCTATACAATTTAAATTATTTTAAAACTCAGAAAATGTTTTAAGCTCATATTTATAGACTTCCTAAGTAGTACAATCTGTTAACTGAAGTAGGTAAGTAAACTTCCTTGAAAACTTCCATAAACAATGGTGACTAAATTAGAAAGATAGAAACTGTTTTCCAGGTCTCTAAGCCACATTCAATATAATGAATCCTGAATAGGAGTTCAGTGAAAAGATTAAGTAGATTTTTTTTAAAAAACACACATATCCCATGGGATCTTGCTGTAAGGTTCTTTCATAAATTAAACTGATTATACTGTCTCTTTCATTTCTCTATTTGCCATGTGTTATATACTTTGGTGATCTCTAAGAAAGCATTTAACTTATTATAAGCATTATTTTTTTTCTGAAGTACACGTAGGTATGCCAAAAGAATAGCAAGAGCAATGTCTATCCATTTAATCTGGTGGCCACAGAAGGACAAAAGCCAGAGTTACTGTAATGCAATCAAGGAGCCTGACCACTGTGGAAGCCTTGAGGAAGTGGCTGCTTTATTTCCCTTTTCAAGAGTTTTTCTTACACATCATCTGTCCACTCTCCTATAGATATGAAGTTAACTCCCTAGACAACTATCACCTTCCCCAATCCCCATCCCTCCACTTGACATACAAACCCAAAGAGATTAATTAACACTTGTTCCAGGAAGAGATACAGACAAAAACATCCGATATTGGAATATTCCTTTGTGAATAAATATAAAACTTATGGAGAGGGAGGGAGATATTTTGAGAGAGGAAAATAAATCATTGGATTTTATTGCTCCAAGCCAAAAGAAATTGTTATTTGTGGCAAAAGTAAAACAAGGTGATCTTGTACTGTGTGCTGTATTTCTGGCAATGATCTGTTATCTTAAGAGGCTTATGTAGAAAGAACAATTGTACCTACTATTATAGCATGCTCTGAGGACCTAAGGACCCTCAACAAACAAATAGTTTTGATGCTACAAGCAGGTACATACTTAGGCACAAACAGGATGGGATACATTTTTTAACTATAGCATAAATAATTTTATAAAATACAGTTGTGTAGGTTTTTATTTTTTAACAAATACAGTCAGATTTTAAATCTCTCTAATCTGAGGAAGACACTTCACAATTTAAATTCAAGAATCCTTGTTCCTTGAAGGCATACGAAAGCAAATCCTTTTGAGAACTTGGTTGAATTTGAGTCCATTTCAATTAGCAGATTCCACATTCACTTTTGAGCCATGACTTAGAAGCTATCAAGACATTATCTAACAATTTTTTTCTCAGTATCCCAGGAAAATAAAAATGTGCATTCATTAACTCAATAGGTATTCAGATGTTTCCCATTAGTAAGTTGCACCCATGCAATAAATACCATGCTCAACAATATCCCCCAATAAGCGTCAAGATTTATAAACTCATACATACCCAAATTTGTGTTAAAATTTGAGATATAAAATATTTTTACATAGTGAAAAATAGATATATATGCATTTTGTGACCAAAACCATCACCAGTGTTCCATTGCTGTTGTTGTTCTTCTCCTTATTATTATTATTTTTGGTGTGTTTGTATCTGGCACATTTGGGGTTATAAATCACAAATAACATAAAAAGGATAATGTTAATCTCCTTCTTACAAAATCCAGTGGCTTCCCACAAGTCTGTGTATAATATGCAAACTTCTAACTATAGTTTATAGATCTGGAATAATTTATCCTATCTCCAGCCTTCGCCTCTTATCACATTCACCATATTCTAGCTATTCTGGACTCTTTTATGCCATAAAATATGCCAGATTCTCACAACCTTAAAGCCTTCAGATACAAGTTTGCTCAGCCTTGAATACTTCTGCCCCACATTCTAATAAGCCCACTCCCAAACATTCTCTCTCTCATCACACAGCTGGACCCTTTCACCCTCCTGATCTTAATTTAAACATGACCTTCCTGTAGAAACTTCCCATGATCTGGCTTGTCTGACTGAACCCAAATGGCTAACGGATTTTCCTTCCCATTACATACCCTCTAATTTATGATGCTTTGCTTGGGGTGGGAGAAATGAGAGGTGGGAGTCTATGGAACACGGAAGTCCTCATGTAGAGGTACAAGGGTGGAAGTGGCTGTTCCCCAGCCTGGTTCTCTGAGTTAGACCTGACGTCCACAGAGAGAGCACTGCAGTAACGGCTAACACTTCTGTTGATTGTGGTAATTGGAACACTTAGGCCATAAGACGTGAGGTCACTGGCAAGGGTAGCAGAGCGTGATTCCTCCCTTAGTGATCTGAAGGCAGCAGATTTCAAAAAGGAAAACCAAGTGGATAAAAGTGAGCAGATTTGTTCTTTAGCACATGTGAGATACCCTTGGAGATGCCAAAAAATCACTGGGGAGACTGTGAAGGAGGCTTAGGCCTTGGAGATGAAGTTAGCCGTGGAGGGAAATCGTGTTTATCCTCAGGCTGTCAGGTCTGAAGTACCTGGGTTAAGTAAATGACCTCTGGGAGGGTAACAGTCGGCAATTATTAGCAGTTACAGATCCATCTCTATGCCAAAACAGATAACAGCATCCAGGAAATATCCGAAGTCACAAATCAATCTCAGTGTCTTTTCACGCACCCCCACGTAGTGCTTTTCCCTTTCCTCCTAGCTACTTAATGGATATGGGCAAGTTGTCAAACAGACAAACAAAGAAGTGAGGATAAATGTTGCTCTGAAATTTAAGGTGAATCATTAGTCAGACTTGGTGTCGTCATGGAATTTAGTCTGTTTTCTAACTAGCTTTATTTTAGCACAGCCATAAATCTGGCTGTAATTGTCTTTAACTCCAGTGACTCACACATGTAAGCATTTCATTTAACTTTCAACCGTGAAAAATTCCAACTGATTTGGCAGTATGAATATGCTCTTACTCACATGCATATGATCATACGATGCTGTCAGTACAACATGTTTTTGTTCTTGGGATGTTGATGGATATCATGAACCATCTTATATCTTTCCCAGTCCCCTTTAATTCCAAGAGGATACGGTTGAGAGGCAGGTAGAGCTTTTGGTCAGTGGCTAGATTTTTTTCTGAATACTAAACAAATTGGCTGGTATGAGAATTTAACAGAATATGATCACAACTTTTTTTCATGACCACAACTTTTTTAAACAGATTTATCTACTTGAAACAATGCCTCAGTCAATGAAGAAGCTTATGTATGTTCTATAACTAATAAAAGATCATTTTAACTGAAATATGACAAATTGCTGTTTTAGTCATGAGGATTACCATTTAGAACAGATACATAAACATTTACTTTTTAATCTGGATATAAGTTAAAGCAAATAGTAAAAACTTAATTTAAATCACACAACATGTTTTACCGTGAATAATAAATGTTTTTAAACTTTAAAAATGTATTTGTTACCTTGTGGGTATTTCTAAACATGATTAAGATTTTCATTTCTACAAGTAGTTTTACTCACTCACAGAATCAAAATGTCAAGACTATGTAAGGTTTTATCAAGTGCTAATGTAGCATCTAAGTTTTTATTAATTAATTTGTAAAGGAAATAATTATGAGAGTCAAAGGAAGAAGCATCACCTGCAGAGAGTTCCATTTCCAGATTCCAACAAAACTGTTAAAATATTTATGGCACTGAGACTGAATCAGACGGGTCTTGTGTACTCTGTCATGGGGCCATATTGTGTAGCAATGGGGGGTTTCAAATAATAAGATTCAGTCATCCATTTAGACTTCAATTGGAGCTCAGGCAACTTCAATTTGTGATTTTAAGGATTAATTTCAAAAAGATGCACTATCTGTAGAACCAAGTTGAAACTTATGCAGTAGATCTAAAAAGCAACCTATTTTTAAAATAAAAAGGCACAAATATACAAATGCAAAAGAAATTAATTGGAAAATTTTGAAGGTTTGTTTCAAATATAAGTAACACAAATGCAAATATAACAGAATATGTTTGTTAATATCATACTTTCATTTAACCAGTTCTAATAAGTAAGGAACATATATGAATTTTTTAATATACAAAAATACCCCCCAGAACTCCATTAAGTATACCCTGTATGACCACAGAGTAAGATTTTTTTAATGACTATTAGCATGGGAAAATTGTGAACATATAGATATAATAATTTAAGATTACTAAATGTTTTAAATAAAAATCGAAACCTCATATTGCCAATATTAAAAATTTCAAAATATAAATACATATGACACCAATGCATACAATGTTACTTTGTCCT